TTTTTTTTTTTTTTTTTTTTTTTTTTTTTTTTTTTTTTTTTTTGCTAGTTCCATGCTCTTTTATCTCAGTAGCTTTTAATATGACTTCATATTGGGGATTGTGATGTCCCTTGCCTTGCCTTTGTTGCCCAGAATACTTTTGTTATCTTAGGTTTCTTCTGGTTTCATATGAATTTTAAGGCTGTTTTCTCTAGTTCTGTGAAGTATGCTATTGGTATTTTTGATTGGGATTACATTAAATCTGTATTACAGATTTGGAAGTATGGCCATTTTCACCATATTGGCTCTGCTTATCCAGGACGGGGTATCTTTCCATTGTCTAATATCCTCTTTTTTCAGAGTATTGGAGTGTTTAGTATGTAGGTCTTTCTCTTGCTTAGTTAGATTGAATGTTTGTGCTTTTGTATGTGTGTGTTCTTATGAAGATAGGAGAAAGGGAGGGGCAGGAACATACGTTAGCATAACCTTTCCATTTTAACAATTATGTATTTTTCCCCTATAGGTGCCTTTGCTGGACCAATTATTGTGGAGCCACATATCACAGCAGTATGGGGGAAGAATGTTTCACTGAAGTGTTTAATTGAAGTGAATGAGACCATAACACAAATTTCATGGGAAAAGATACAAGGCACAAGTACACAGACTGTTGCAGTTCATCATCCTCAGTATGGATTCTCTGTTCAAGGAGAGTATCAAGGAAGAGTCTCGTTTAAAAATTATTCATTTAATGATGCAACAATTACTCTGCATAATATAGGATTTTCTGATTCCGGAAAATACATTTGCAAAGCTGTTACTTTCCCGCTTGGAAATGCCCAGTCCTCTACAACTGTTACTGTGTTAGGTAAGTGTGCTTGGATTTTGTGTTTTGGTGACAGCAGTAAGAACTCAAATAAAAATACTTTAAAGAATTTAAAATATTTGAAATTTTCCCTAAATTTAGGGTTAAAATAAATTCAAATATGATGTCTCAAGTTTTATCTTAAGATGTTTTGATTCTAGGCTCTCTAAATTTAAACAATCTTACCTATATCTACCTGTCTACTTACAGTCCTGTATAGTTTTAACTGTTACTTTTTATAGTAATTTAGTTATAATACTAAATTATTAAAATATAAATGCTGAGTTTCTTTAACATTCATTTTCATTACTTCGTTAATGGTAATTATAACTAAATTACCATGTTTAGTTAAGTTTTTCCACTTTTTCCAGTGACTGACTTTCACTGTTTTGAACCTTTGATACCTCATGTTTCAGTTGTTTTTTCTTTTTGTTTCTTGAGACAGGGTCTCACTATGTAGTTGAGATTGACGTGGAACTCACTATGTAGCTCAGGCTGGTCTCGAACTCACACCAATCCTCCTTCCTCAGTCTCCTGAGTACTGGGATTACAGGCGTGCGCCACCACACCTGGCCTATGTTTCAGTTTTCACATCAAATTTTATCCTTGCTATTGTAGATTTGTGAAAGTATTTAAATCTTGTGATTTGGGAAGACTGGTCAGATGTTTTTGATAGACTATGAGGCCATGAAGGCTTCAAAGTAATTTTCTAATTTCTGTCAACTGAGTGAAGGGCAGAATTTAAAAAATATTTACCAGGATTTTGTAATTGGTATATATAAGAAACAAGGGAAACTTGAACAGTACCAGAGTTTGAAACTTGGTGATTGAGTAAATTGTTAATTGACTGGGATCCCCTAAATGAAAAACAGGTATTGGGAGGCTTAGACAATGAGTTCAGTGTATTGGGTTAAGCATATATAGATGAAAATAACAGGCATGTAATTAGAAACTGAGGAGCTAAGTCTTGTAGCAAAATTGGAGGAAGTTTGAAATCATATAGATAAAAGCTTTAAAGTAAATATAAAAGTAAACAAGCCTAGTGCTATGTATTAGAGTATCTTAGGTTGGGAGAAAAATGGATGAAGAATTCAAGGAGAACTATGAGAAGAACTCAAGCAGAGTAATAATTAAGAGAAGATAACTTTCAAGAAAATAAGTGCTCCAGCAGTTTTGCCTGCCTACAGAGATGATTTAACTTATCTTTTTAGCTTTCCTAATAGTGACACATAGCTAGTATCATTCTAAATTTATTACTTAAAACAGATACCTTAGATAAGAGAACTTAGTTCTTTTTAACTGATTGCGAAGGGCTGTGCTGAAATATCACATTCTACAAATTAATCATAGAGAATAGATGTAAAAAAAATTTTTGTCTATAGATTAAGTGGTCTTTGGTAACACTAAAGTTTCAGTGGGGTATTTTCTGCAGAAACCAAATTAAAAGAATGGTATACAACAAAATGTTGTAAGAAAATTCAACATATGTCTCACAGAGGAAGAGTTGTGAAATTAATTACAATGTTCCTTTTGTTGGAATATTATGTAGTTGTTAAAACTATGGTTAAGAGAAATATTGCTACTTGAAATTAGCTACAAAATTAGAAATAGAAATAAATAGGACTCTGATCTCTGAAAAAAGTTAGACAAAGGAGGTGAGCTTTTAAAGTTGCTCTAGCTTCGTCCTTAGACAGCTTACCAGGAGTGAAAGGTCAGGGTAGCAAGGGATAATAAGGACAGAAAATTCTGCATAGCATTTTAAAGGGCCAAAGAAAACAGCCGCAAACTGCTAGACAGGAAAGAATGACTCTATAGAGAGGTTAACTAAAATATTAAGATGTGTGATAAAATTAATTTTACAAAACTGTTAAAGAACACAAGTGGATTTTTCTTAAGAAATATATAAATGACAATTTAAAGTTGACTTTTAAAATAAATGGTTAAGTTCCTTAATAGAAAAGAAAGCTGCTGTTGATGATGGCGTAAATTACTCAGACCAACTCTCCCACTAAAAGAGAAATATGACTACCTTTGCAAATTTTGAAGAAATATTAACAGTGAAGAATATAACTAGATCAAAGTCTAGTAGGTAAAGTAAATAGAGATTAACCTGTTGCTGAAAGCAGCATCCAACCTTAGGATATTTGACAAGTCAGAAGAAACATCTGAGATGCTGAGCTAAAATTTCGAGAGCCTTGACAAGTGAATGAAATATCTCAGTGTAATTCTTCTCAATATGAAATATCTAATTACATTTCTCATTCAGTTTATACCCTAAAGACCTCAGTTCACAGAGTAGTAAGGAAATTAGAAGTAAACTGGATTCTTTATAAACCTAGATCTAGTAGTGTCATTTGAGCGAACTGAATTTAAGAAAATACTGGCCTGGTTATTGTTTTCAGGAAGTTGACATAAGAAAACATATAACATACATCTTTTCTGGGGCAAAGTACCAATATTCTGATCCCAGAATATTTCTGCATTAATTATTTAAACACAGTTACACAGTTTGCTTGAATAACAAGGTATATAAGAGCTGGGCGCTGTGGTGCACTCCTGTAAATCCATCACTCAGGAGGCTGAGGCAGGAGGATCGCTGAGAGAGTTCAAAGCCAGCCTGAGCTACATAGTGATTTCAAGGCCATCCTGAACTACAAAGCAAGACCCTATCTCAAAAAACAACTAAAAAAAGGGCATACAAGTATGGAAGATCCCCCCACACCAGGTAGCAGCCTGCGCAAATAAGGCAACAGAAGTTGAACTACAAAAGTCAATTTATAAATTTTCTACAGAGAGCAACAACAATGAAAAATAATTAAAAGTTACATAGTAGGCCTCAAAGGAGAGAACAGTATTTCTTAGTACATAAAGTGTTAACTGTTGAAATTAAGCACTTTTTAAACTAAGTTACACAGCTGTAAGTGATGTTTCATTTTAGTATGAATTTAAAGTGTATCTTATAACCAAAAGTACTGAACAAATTTAGCTGCCCTAATTAGTTCTTTTTAGGCATGTGAGAAGGTGAAAGCCAGTAATTTAAATGAAATTATAGAAACACTCCCTGGCCAAAAGAAAACATGTTCTATTTCTTCCCTTATGAGTTTGCTTAAAGGACATTTTTTGTGTTTGTGTGCTTAACATTTTAACCGTAGGCTAAATACTAGTAACTTATTTTAAAAGGGTTTGCTTTAAACTTTTTTGGCCATATCATGAAGCATTATATGTTAAAACTATTTTTTCCTTCAAAAATACTATTTAAGGGCCAGAGATTTAGCTCAGTGGTGCTGACGCCTGTCTCGCAAGCTCAAGGTCCTGAGTTCGATCCCTGGTACAAAGAAAAAAAAAAAGTTTAATACAAATTATGATTGAGTTCACAGAATTGTTTTTTAATATACTAAACTGGAAAGAGTCCATCTGTCTCTGTGAGTAATACGTATCTGTGTCAGGGAGTCATATTTTTAATAGTAATGTAACATTTTTGCCATTTTCTCTCTCGCCAGTCTTCTCATCTTAGCTGCTCTGAGAATGTAGCTGATACTGACATCACCTGAAAAGCATGTCTGTAGATTTTATATGTACTTGTCCCTAGGCTTATGAAATGTGTCTAGGTATGGCTTGGAAGGATACAAATAATTTTTTAATTGACATATAACTTTTTAAAAATTTTTTACAGTTGAACCCACTGTGAGCCTGATGAGAGGGCAAGAGTCTTTAATTGATGGAGGAAATGAAACAATAGCAGCCATTTGCACAGCAGCCAATGGAAAACCAGCTGCAAAGATTGACTGGGAAGGTGATCTTGGTGAAAAGGATTCCTCTACAGTTTCTTTTCCAAACGAAACAGCAACGATTGTCAGCTGGTATAAACTGTTTCCAACCCGATTTGCTAGAGGAAGGAGAATCACTTGTGTTGTAAAACATCCAGCCTTGGAAAAGGACATCCGATATTCTTTTGTGTTAGATATACAGTGTAAGTAAAGGCTTAACAGTTTGCCTTTCGACTTACATCATGTACTGTACTTTTTCTTCCTTTGACATATTTCATTATCAAACTTTTTTTTTCTCCTTAACAAAGGGTGATTTGTTCTGTCATGTGCTTATTTTATAGATGCCCCTGAAGTTTCAGTAACAGGGTATGATGGAAATTGGTTTGTAGGAAGAAAAGGTGTTAATCTCAAGTGTAATGCTGATGCAAATCCACCACCCTTTAAATCTGTGTGGAGCAGGTAATGTTATATTTCCAGAGAGAAATTATTCAAATGTGAATATTTTCAATGCATATTTCAAGTTGTTTTTAATTGGTATGATATGTGATTGTAATAATAAAGAATTTAATTAAATGAAAGACTTCTACATACATATTCTATTGTCCCACCCTTTCCTCAACCTTCCTACTCCCTTGGGTCTATTCCTCAGAGGCTCCCTTAGTAATTTTATCTGTTTTCTGGTACTAATTATTGCCATATCTTAACTGCTACTTCTTGATTAACCAATTTCTAACATTTCATTTATTAGGTGAAGAATTAGTTTCGTGTCTACCCCTTCATCCACAAAAACACCCCAAACACATTCTTTTTATTATTTTTTAAAATTAATTTTATTGGTACATTTAATATATACAGTATAATGACAGTCATTGTTAGAAATTTGTACCTTTACATAATCAATCTTGATTCTTATTTTTCCCCATTCTCCTGCCCTCCCTCAACCCCTCCCTTGCTCCCTATCTGCAAAAACTTTGTTTCCATTATTTTTCATTTTCTCATATTAATTCCATTCCCTTATTTCCTTTCCCCTACCCCTCCCATTTCCCCTTCCTCCCTGTCCCTTCCTATTTCACATTATCTATTATACCTTTTAGTCCTTATTTATACTTTCAGTTTCTCAAACTAGAGAGATTATTTGGTATTTACACATATGTGCACTATTTATATCACTTGAGTATCACCTCAATGTGCATCCATTTAGCTAGAAATGTCTAATTTCTCATTTTTTATGGCTGAGTAGTATTCCATTTTATTTAAAAAACACATTTTCTTTATCCAGTCTCCCATTGAAGGGCAGTGGGCTGCTTCCAAGTTTTAGCTATTACAAATTGTGCTGCTATAACGCAGGTGTACATATATCACTATGGTATCTTTTAATTCTTTAGGGAAGATACTGAGCAGGGGAACAGCTGGGTCAGATGGAACTTTGAATCCTAGTTCTTTGAGTTATCTCCATAATGATTTCCACAGTGGTTGTACCAGTCTACACTCCTACCAGCAGTGGAGCAGTGTTCTTCTTTCTCCATTGCCCCACCGGCGTTGTTTAATGGTTGATTTTGTGATAGCAGCCATTCTTTCTGGGGTGAGGTGGAATCTCAGCATTGTTTTCATTTGCATTTCTCTTTCAAAATTGATGGAGAAATAAGATACTTTCATGACAAAAGGTAAACTTAGGAACTTCATAAATATCAAAGCAGCACTCCAAAGATTTTTAAATAGTATCTTAGGAAACAACATTGAGGATAACAACCCCAGGAAGCCTAGCAGAATGAATGCATTAGGCATGACAAGAAATTAAATGCAAAGGGAGAGAATCCAACAAAAAGAAAAAGTCATGACAAGACCAAGTCAATACGTATCAGTTATAACCAAACACATTCTTACCTTTTATTGTCTGAATGAAATTGTTACTTTTAGTTAAACTTTGTAATTACTATTTGCTTCCCTGTGATAGACAGATATTTTATTTATCAAAAACTAAGTAGTATATCAGAATTTTGTTTTCTTTTTGTCTACAGCTATTTGTTTTCCCTGTGGCTGATAATTGCCTTTCTACTTGTATAATTTTAATGAACTGCACTTCTTTTTCTTTATCTGTAAATGTTCAAACTAAGATTTTCATTCTTATTCTCAGTATTCAGGGCCTGTTTCAATCTTGAGACTTTTATCTGTAACTTCAGATAATTTTATTTATTTTTTGTCATTTTCTCCTTTTTCTTTTTGGTTCATTCTCACTGGAACTCTTTTTTATTGTATAGTATATTTTCATATTTTCCAAATGGTTTTATTGTTCTTCCTAGAATATATATTTTTTTTAATTTTGTATTGACTCAATTTAAAAAAATGTTTTGACATATTTGCAGTTTCTAAGACACCTTCACATTTCCTGATCATTTTATAGCCTCTTTTTCATGTTTTACAGATGTTCAGTCTTCTTGTTTCTTCACTGTAATGTCAGTTATTTTCTCCTCTAGAATATTTTTCTGCTCGGTCTTTCACTTTCACTACAGTTATTTATCTTTTTGCTTGTCTAGTCATTTCACAATGAGACATTAAAATAAAATACTTAGTAAAAACTTTCTCTATAATGAGGATGATTCAGTAGTAGGTTCCACTTGGAATGATCTCATAGATTTTTCCTCCAAAAGTTTCCGATTTAATCAGTGAAGAGTGGAAGTCTTTTGGCAAATTCAGTTTATTGAATTTGCTTTCATTATTTTGTCTGAGAAATATCTGTGCAGAATTAGAGGTAATATATTGATTTGTTCTTTCAATTAATGTCTTTATTTCTAGCCCTGTGCTCTCTGTTGGCCTTCTGCAGTACAGTAGGTCAAACTCCAAACTTTCTTGTCTTCTTTGGACCTTACTGGCTGCTTTTGCATTCATAGTCCTACTGCAAGCAACTCTTCAAGCCTAAAGAAGAGATTTTTGGCACTGTTGACATTTTGGATTGGATGATTCTTTTTGGTGGTGGGCAGTTCTGTAAATTGAACATTGTTTAGTAAAACCCATGCTTCTATCTGTAGAGACAGTAGAACCAGCCACTCTCTCAGTTCTGAAAACGCACAATGTCTCCAAACATGCCAAATATCCCCTAGAAGCAGAGTCACTCTTGGTTGAGAAAAATGGGCTTAAAATGTATATTGTTTTCTCGTCTTCTACAAGTTTGTAGAACTGATATGTTTGTTGACTGCTACGATCTGTTTTCTTTCTCTTCTTGGATTTTAAAGAACTTTTTAATAACTCTTTTTTCATGGTGGGATTTTGAGGGACTTAAGGAAACAGTATATTTGGTTGCCCCTATACAGATTTGAAGATAGTTTTAAAATTATATTTTCTTAGAAGTGGGAGGCAGTCATTAATTTAGGTATCTATTTGATACAGTATTTCTAAAAGCTGTATCATTCTGAGCCGGTCATGTTGGCACACACCTTTAATCTCACCACTGGTGAGGCTAAGACAGGAGGATTGCTGAGTTTGAGACCAGCCTGGGCTACATAGTGAGTTCTAGGTCAGTCTCAACTACATAGTGAGACCCTGTCTCAAAAAAAAACCCCAAAAACAAAACAAAACAATAAAAGCTGTATCATTCTGGTTTTCATCCCAGTGCCTATATTTCTAGGTGTCTTTTATTACATGCAAGTCGTTCAACCCCTCTAGTACTTAGTTTCCTAGCTGAAGTATTTACTTCATAGAGTTTTTGTAAGAGTGAATATATATCTATAAATGTCTGTATTCATACTTTTCTAGAAACTTCAAGAAGTATAAATGATTCATGTAACAAAAGTCCAAGAGTTCAGAAGATGCTGATCTATGTCACCTCTTAGATGTGTAGTGAGATATATAGCATATTCTTACTCTGCCTTTATTGAATAAATAACTAAAATATTATAAGCCAGTTTTGAATTTCTCAGTTTTGAGCCCAAAGTATAGATGTAAGTGATAAGACATAGATAGTTTTGAAAGATGATCTTGCAAAGTTTTTCTGTACAAAATCCTTTTCAGAATGAGTGCTTTTGTTTTTATTTAATTATGTAAAAACATTATCTTTACCCTTCAGTGCTAAATTAAATGTTTAGAGCATCCCTAATCCAAAAATCCTAAATCCATGTGTTCCAAAACCTGAAGCTTTCTCAGTACTGACACGTTGTAAAGGTTTCAGGTTTGGGATTAGAAATGCTTAACCAGTAAAGTCTACACAAATACTCTAAAATCTAAAAAATTAACAAATATGAAGTAATTGTGGTTCCAAGCCTTTGGGTGAGGAATACTCTGTACTAAAACCTCAAAAAAATTTTACTGGATTTTTATACACTACTCTTGGGATTGAAAAATAATATCATTGAACTAGTTCTCTATTTTCTTCTTTATACCTTTTTATTCTTTATTCTTATTCCTTTTATAATGACTTTTTGATATCCCAGTATGTATCTACCTCATTAAAGATAGGGTCCAAGTAACTCAGGCATTTTAAAAGCATTTTCAAACTAAACACTTAATTTTTATTTTAATTTTAGTTTTGTTTTGTTTTTTTGTTTTTTGTTTTTTGTTTTTTTGTACCACTAGGTTGGAAAAGTGATTTTCCATTTAGTTCCATTGAAGTTAATGGCTGTAGGGTTTCTTCTAGTGGAGCTTCCATGATTTATTGTAATAATGGATGCAGTAGAAATGGTATATTTTAGCCAAATTAGTATAAACACTGTTTAGAGTTATTGATACTAAATTGTACCTTGGATTTTATTGTCACAGACACTCACTTTACAAATAAAAATTTTCTATTATTGTAAATCCTTTGTCTGAAGAGAGTAGGAAGAGAGTACAAATTTATATTAGTATTAAATGATAATAGTATAAATACATTATAGAAGGTACCAAAATATTTTAATATATTTAAATGAGATGGCTTTTTAACTAAGGAAATGGTATATATATATTTTTTCACAAGTAACATAATTCATAGTTAGAATTTCAGTTACTTTGATATTGTGATATGCCATCACATAATATGTATTTCTAATTTCCAGTGTTCCAAATATAATTTTTAAATTATTTTTTTCTTTTCTTCCCTCCCATTGTATTGTATTGGCCTAGCTGCTTTTATATGGGTTAATATTTGGGAAGAATAGATTATACATACTGGATTTTATCTTTATTAAAATGAAAATTTACTGGGCCAGGGATTTAGCTCAGTGGTGCTGTCACCTGCTTTGCAAGCGCAATGTCCCAAAGTTCGATCCCTTGGTACCAAAAAAACACAAAAAATATTAAAATGAAAAAAATCTGTTCTTACATATTGTTATTTTATGGGTAATTGTATCTGAAAGGTAGTAATAATTTTACAAACATCTCAAAGGTGTAATGTCTTATTTTAAACTGCTGTCAGTAAATATAGTTTGAAAGTACTTAAAATAATTTCATGCTTTTTAAAATCTAGGTTGGATGGGCAGTGGCCTGATGGCTTACTGGCTTCAGACAATACTCTTCATTTTGTCCATCCACTGACTTTCAATTATTCTGGTGTTTATGTCTGTAAAGTGACAAATTCCCTTGGTCAAAGAAGTGATCAAAAGGTCATCTACATTTCTGGTAAGTTACTATCTACTTGCAAAATAGTTATTTAGTTTTTTCTATAATAACAGTTATAAATGATAATATGATTCTAAGCAGTAATTTATACTTGTAAAGATATAGCTTGATCGGTGTGAAATTTTTCAAATAGTCTAGAGATATGATAAAGTATGAAATACATATATAAGGTGTCCTTCCTTTACTTAAAGGAATGTCAAAATGTTTAAGAAATAGTTTTGTACTTTAATACTTTTTCATATAGTTTTCAGTTAAACAGTACTACATTTGTCTTTTAGACATCTGCCTTTCTAAACTCGTTAAACAAAGTATGCCTTCAGTGGCTACTCTGCAAACAATTACCTTCATTTTTAAAAAGAGAATGTTAACCTTGGTAACCTGCTTTTCAAATAACACTGCTTGCCACCCATGAGCCTCTCCCATGTTGGGTTACTGAGAGATGAAATGGTAATGCTACTGAAAATGTTCTAATTAAATAAACTTTAATATATGTTTTTATTGCCAGTTCTTAAGACACTAAGAACTAAGAATTTTAACATTATTTGTTTCACTTGGATATTTTGTTGATGGGCAGAATATAAATTGGAGCATTCACAAAATGTACATGGAGTTAAAATATATTTTTGTGTGGCTATAGATTGTCAGTAGAATGCTGATTTAGGAAAAATATGTAAAATATTTTGAGTATCTACTAACTGCAAGAATACTGTGTAGCAGACTTTTTGTCTAATAATAGAAAATTAAGAGAAAAAGGAAGAGAACCTTGAAAAATGCAGGTTTGTATGGTAAATATGTAATGAGTAGTTAAGGTTACTTCTTCAGATCTAAAATGAAATTATGTTTGCTTATATATTATATTCTCAGTTGCGTGATCATTTACTCGAAGTACAGCCACCCCTGTATTTTATTGGTATAATACTCACCATTATTTATAGTTATATTCTTGTTTATTTCCTTGTTATGATCCTTAAAATTTAGCTATTTGTATTTTCTTTCTGCACTACTGATAGAGACTCATATTTCTTTTATGTGATACAGGCAAGCATCACAGAGCTGTATATATTCCTAGTTCTTTCTGCTAGTAGCAGTGCTTTGGTGGAAATCTGAGGGAAATTAAATAGTGGATATGTTTTTCTTTCTTTTTAGAGGATAAGCCATGCAAATGGATACTTAAAATGTAAATGTATAAATAGTGCTTACAGGGGCCAGGGATTTGGCTCAGTGGTACCATGCCTGCCTTTCAAGCACAAGGTCCTGAGTTCAATCCCTGGTACTAGCAAAAAAAAAAAAAATAGTGCTTACACTTTTCTTGTACTGTTGCTGTGGAATATTTCTTATAAATTGTAAGTGCAGTATGTTGTAATTATGTAATCTTTTAAGGCTTAATTGACAGGGCTCAATTTGGGCACTCATACGTATATTGATTCCACTGGGGATATCTAAAATTTATTTCTTTTGACATTCTGAGTTCAGTTCTCTAGTACTTCCAACTGCCTATTAATGACTATTAAACTATATGTAGAAGTCAGATAAGCATTACAGCTTAACATTTTTGAAACTGAAATTCTGATCTTTCTCCTGCCCCTGACATTAAACCTCTTTCTCTGCCATTCTTCCTCCTGTCAGTTACATGTAGTTCCATCTTTACATTTGTTCAGGGTACAACCTGCCTCGTATCCTTGATTTCTATTCTTTTTCATACCATACCCAGTCCATCAACAAATCATTGTTGGCACTCTCATTATGTAGAATTTTATCAATTCCTCACCTCTTCTGCTAGTATAAGCCATCAGAAAGTGTTGTTTCACTATAGAATAGCCACTTAATCTCCCACTTTGAATTTGTCACCCTTCAATCTGTCACAGCGGAACAGCCAGAGTGAGCTTTTTAAAGGGCATGTCAGATCATGTCTCTTCTCCTCAGAACCTTCCATGGACTTCCCATTTTATCTACAATAGTAACTAATACTTACAGTGACTGAAGGCTGTTGTGTGTGTTTTAGTCCCAGATTATTTCCCTGACCTCATTTCTTATTATATATCCCTTTCTTACTGGAATATTCACCCTGTCCTTCTTGTTCTTTGAACACGAGCACATTTATGGGTCTCCATCTTTGCATTTGCTGTTTCCACTGTTTGGGGTATTCTTCTACAAGGTATCCTGATAACTCTTACCTTCAGGTTCTATAGGTATCTGCTAAAATAACACCTTTTTCAATAAGCTCTTTCTTCCTTTGTGACTGTATTTTATTTATTTTTTTCTCTTTATCGAGTTTATTGGTACATTCTAGGTATATACAGTTACATTCATTACTGGGATCTTGTACCTTTACATGACAGGTCTTGGTTTTCATTTTTTTCCCCTTGTCCCTGCCCTCCCTTCACCCCCTTCTCCCCTCCCCATTTACAAACACTTTATTTCCATTTTTTTATTTTCTCATATTTTTGTGACTGTACTTTAAAATTGAAAATACTGTCTTCTCACCCTCTTACAACTTTCTGTCCTTCTCTGCCTTGTTTTCCTATTTTTGCCATGTGATATGCTACATGTGTTATTTTTGTATGCTTGTCTATTTTTATGCCCAATAGAACTTGGGTTCTTAGGATTTTTGTCTACTTTAATAATTACTGTGTTTCTATCATCTTCAGTAGTGTTTTAGATAGATACTCAACATACTTTCATTTCATGCATGAGTGAATTTGAGATCAGTCAGGGAAGAACTAAAAATCCCAGGTCTGCTTTTATCTCACTTATGTTCTGTTCTTTGACTAGAAAACTGATAACTTTACATAGTTTTAAAATCAACATCTACTAAGCCTTATAAGAAGGGAAATAAAATTTTGAGTAAATTTGAAAAAGATCACAATTAATTACCTCTAAATTATTTAGAAGAATATAGCATTATGTAAAAAGGTTTTTGGGGTGGTGATAATTAGATCTTACCTTTCTACTCAAAATCTGTAATAAAGTTATACTCTCTCAAAAAAATTTCTTTTTTTAGTACTGGGGATTGAACTTGGGACCTTCCACTTTTGAGGCAGGAGGCAGAACCACTGAGCTAAATCCCTGGCTACTCTCTCCACTGAGAACTTCTTGGAGTATCCTGAGTATCCTAGATATGATTCTGCTTTTCCATAATATTTAGTAAAGCCTAGTAGGTTTTCATGAGACTAGTAGAACATATACAGAATAAACAATCAAGTCTTTTTTTTAAAACTGTAAATTATATTTACCGTGACAAAAATTTACCTCGTTATTAAAACTGGCATTTTAATATCTTAGAAGTGAGTTTTTTAAATATGTAAAAGCAATTGAGCAAAATTTTTAATCACACATTTTTTATATTGGTAGATATAAAATTTGTGGATGAGCCTATTGATATATGGTTGTAATATTCAACTTCAAATATTCATTTGTACTCAGAAGATATGGTGATTATTTGTGCAGTATTAAATGACTGCAAGAAATTGTGTTTTTCTTATTTGCTTCTAATATTTTTTATATATGTCATATATATATATATATATATAAAATATTTTTTCTTTAAAAATAGGAAAGCAAAATTTTACATGTCAGATATGTACCCTTACACTTAAAATTCTTTTTATGCAAATGTCGAATTGCAAATCATATTCATATGAGTGTTTAGACATAGTTTCAAAACCTAACAACCCACATTTAGCAATGTTTACTTTTTTTTTTTTTGTGGTACCAGGGATAGAATTCAGGACCTTGTGCTTGCCAGGCAGGTATAGCACCACTGAGCTACATCCCCCCAGCCCAGCAATTTTTACACTTTAAAATGAATTGGCTATTTATTCAGACAACCCATACAAAGTTTAAAAGCAATAGTGGTCAATCCTTTTAATTTTTAACATAGTAATCTTTAGATTAAAATATGCTTTATAGCTTCAAGGATGTTACTGAACTATTTGTTTTATTATTTAGCAAAAGTATTTAGTTAGAAAAAGAAATATAAGTTCTTCATTTGAAGAGAAAAGCTAGAGGTATGCTGAAATACATTATAGCTGTTATATTTTCATTTATGTTACGTTCAATGAAGAGTGTTGTTAACATCTGACTGAAATATTAAAGAATGATGTTGGGAAGAGTTTTAAATCACAATAAACAATTAGCTATTGATGATAGAAAATTTTCTTGCCTCAACATTACATGACTTTTGTTCTAAATATAAAGACAAGAAGGAGATCTTTATGTAAAATACAGTATTAACAAAGGATTAACAGTAATTTATGTTACATTAAGAAGGTTAATTTTTTAACACTATTTTAGAGAGGATTGTGGGTTGAAACTTCAGGGATCACAACAAACTAAATGCAAAATTTTAAACTTTTTTATGTTTTTTCTGAAAGCAGTATTTTGTTAAATTTGAATGAAATGAGTAGTCAGTACTTTGGAAGTAGAAGTTTTAAAATGTCTTTTTTCTTAGGATATATGGTAAAAATGTTGAGTTATGTATTTTATACCTGGAGAGAAACCTTAAAATTCTTATATGCACTGAAGTGTGTAAATTATAATTTATTTAGGTGATTTGTACTTTTACTTAAATGTGCTGATGCCAGCCTCTTGTAATACTTTTTTCCTTGCTAATTATTTTAAAGATGATGTCCAGTACTTAAAACTACACTTCTTCCCCCCTCAAAAATATGAATTGTTTTACAAATGATTTAAGTTTTAATCTACTCAGTATTCTCATTCTGTGAAGTTGGATTATTTGAAGTGTTGCTACTTTAATAGAAATAATCTATCAGTTTCACACGTTTTCTTCAGATTGAATTTATTCAGCCAATGAATATGTTCTTATAAATTAAAGCTCTTCCTTGATTCACTTACATATATTATAACTAATACTTCAAAGTACTTGACAGGATTACCTATTAGCTTATAAACTCAGAAAATTATACTGTACTTGTTAAGTTTTATACTATACTTGCTAAATTTTTACCACATTCTATATATATGGCATTCCATGATGAAAC